AACCTCTGAGTCTTTGATGGCGAAGGCCCTTGGCCTTAATGGCGTTATTTCGAACTTATCGAAATAACAACCCATCTTGAGTTCGAGCGAGGTCGAACCTCTGAGTCTTTGATGGCGAAGGCCCTTGGCCTTAAAGGCGTTATTTCGAACTTATCGAAATAACAGCCCGTCTTAAGTTCGAGCGAGGTCGAACCTCTGAATCTTTGATGGCGAAGGCCCTTGGCCTTAAAGGCGTTATTTCGAACTTATCGAAATAACAACCCGTCTTGAGTTCGAGCGAGGTCGAACCTCTGAATATTTAATGGCGAAGGCCTTTGGCCTTAATGGCGTTATTTCGAACTTATCGAAATAACAACCATCTTGAGTTCGAGCGAGGTCGAACCTCTATCTTTGATGGCGAAGGCCCTTGGCCTTAAGGGCGTTATTTCGAACTTATCTAAACAATAACCCGCCTTGAGTTCGAGCGAGGTCGAACCTCTATATCTTTGATGGCGAAGGCCCTTGGCCTTAAGGGCGTTATTTTGAACTTATCGAAATAACAACCCGTCTTGAGTTCGAGCGAGGTCGAACCTCTAAGTCTTTGATGGCGAAGGCCCTTGGCCTTAAAGGCGTTATTTCGAACTTATCGAAATAACAACCCGTCTTGAGTTCGAGCGAGGTCGAACCTCTGAGTCTTTGATGGCGAAGGCCCTTGGCCTTAAGGCGTTATTTCGAACTTATAGAAATAACAACCCGTCTTGAGTTCGAGGGAGGTCGAACTTCTGAGTCTTTGATGGCGAAGGCCCTTGGCCTTAAAGGCATTATTTCGAACTTATCGAAATAACAACCCGTCTTGAGTTCGAGCGAGGTCGAACCTCTGAATCTTTGGTGGCGAAGGCCCTTGGCCGAAGTCCCAGTTTGGCGGACATTGCTCGCATCGATGGTTTCAACGCTGCGGACACCAGGTGCTGACATTTCGTTCGGACCTGCGTGGTACGCATGTTACAGCTTCTCGCACGACTGGCTGTTTATTTTGAAGACGCCATCGACCGGGAGGGTTTCGGCTGTGCTAAGATGATTTTTGGTTCTTCGACCGAGGCATCCCTGCATCGGCGTCCGATTTTGTGAACTACGGGAGAAGAGGATGAGATGTTCCTTATCCCTGCCCGGTGGTTTTGATTGCGGCGCCTTTAGCCTTGTTCGGAATGTTTGGGGCTGGTAGGTAGGGAATTCTGGACCTCACTGGCCCGTTGCATTTTCCTTTTCTCCACGCGCTGCCTTCAAATCTGATGTGAGTTGGATGCTTTTCTCGCGTTTCTTTGGCTTCGATCCGAAAAAATGAACTAGGTGTTTTCACTAGGAAATCCCCACAGACGACGCCAAATTGTTTGACTCAAAAGATATTAACTCTTTTTGAGCAAATCAATCAAAATGATGAAGGGGTAAATCGTATTCAATCATAATTCATATCGGACCAAAAGATAAAAAAAATGGCAAATAAGTATGGAACAAATGAAGCATCAAAATGTCTTATTTATGATAGCCTATTAGAGTGTTGGAGAAGAAGGAGCAACCGGAGGATCTCCCTTCTTGGTTCTCTTCACTACATATTTATAGTCGAAAGAAATCTTCTTTCCTTTGCCACAGCTTGTCACGACTGAATTATGGGGGCTTCCTAGTTGGGGGGAGGACTTATCCTCGTCACTTATGTCGAATGTTGTAATGATGGAGTCAAAATGACTTCGTTGACTTTTTTCGTACGATGACAAGGATGGTTGTGGTCGTCCCGATCGGGGTGGTCAGATTTTGACCAATACATTTACCATATAAAAATTCAACCAATGTCATATTAAAACTTCAGTTCTCTTTATTTTTTGATACATATTCTTCAATTTAATTTCTTTATCGATTGATTCAATTGTAAATTTGTACTGGTGTTTCGTTGAACTTTTTTTTTCTTTATCAACTGGAGAAAAACGAATTAGCCTATATATACATGGCAATGTACATATTTCTTTCTTGCTTTCTAACCGCCTGGGGTATTTTCAACGTTATATATAGAGAGCTACTGTTTCTTTCTATTATTCGAAGAAGAAAATTATCAGGTACAGTTTTTGAAACTCTTTGTTTGCAGTTTTGTGCTTATAATCTTTAAAATAACCCCAAATTCATAGAATATTCATTTCCCTTATTCACCGGGTTGCTGATTTATTCTTTATTGGTTATGTGCCTTCGCAACAGTATTAAAAAAGAAATTAAAACTACTCTTGTATTTGAACCCACACAATGTTGTAGCTTCTATTGTCTTATCTTTATAAGAACGTGTAAACTAAAACGTTAGCAAGTAAAAAAGAGCCTAAAAAATAAGTAATATAAATCACTTTGGGACTATTTTGTATTTTCTTCTTCTTGCACTAAGAAAGAGCAATTTTATCATTACATAATATGCTGAATATATGATGTTAAAACGTTGTAATTTTTGTGAATAGGGGAAATAATATTTTTTGCAGTTCATTTTGGAGTGTTTGTATGACAGATCGGAAGAGGAGACAAAGAAGAGTAAAAAAGAAAAGCGTAAATGGTGAGAATAAATGAGTAAACAATATATAAAAGAAAGAGTTTCCTTTTATAAAATTGCGTGTACTTGGTTCTTGATTTACAACGGTTTCATATATTTGATTATATTGCATGAAGATATATTCTTAAAAGAATATGTTATTATCTGATATAAATGTGTCCATTAGTGCAATAAGCTTTTAGGATTTTTTTAGACTTCTCTATTTTTTTGATTTCGATTTCTTTTTACCAATATCTTCCATTGTATAGACAGTGCTTTTTTAATTATCACCAACTAGATGGGCGTTTTTCTTTAGGATGAATTTAACTATTTTTATGTATATTTATTCGTGAAAGTCGTGAGATATTTTTGAACCTGTCAAATTCATCTAAAAATTTATATATAAGAAAAAATGTCAATGAATTACGAGAGAAAGAAAGAGAGTTTATTATGATCTGCCTTTGTAAATTGCTTTATTCTCTTCTCTTTTTCCTTTTTCTGTTTCTTCGTTAGCCCAAGAATTAATGCTAAGATTCCAATGATAACCTAAAAGGTGAAGATTATTGGAAGAACATTGTGCACAACAATTTAAAAAAAAATTAATTTTGTTGTTTATTAATGGATCCAGCTTATTTAAACTCACTGTTCATCAAATTTTTTGGCTTTTGTTCCTCCTATTTTCCTATTTATCTTACTATAGATTCGAAGACTCAATTATTGCTCTAGCCTTTTATATTCTGCAGTTTGAGGGAGGAGCTCAATAAACTGCCCGTTTCAGCATAAAAAACTGCCCTTTTCAGCATGAAACTTCTCCTATCGAAGAAATTATGTTAAGCTAAGTAAATAGATGATAATATTTTAAGGATTTTAGGAAATTAGCTTTGATTCTTTTTATTTAAAATCTTTTTATTAAATGATTTTCAATCTTGAATGTGTAATCCGCTACTGTGTTAAAACACAAAATCAAAAAACTGTTAGAAGAATAAAAGAAACTGGAAAACAGTAAAGAATAAGAAATATTCCGAGTCCACAATTTGCTTGTGCGTCCTTAAGGAATTTTAACCCCCTCACACGTCGCCAAGGTAATGGATTAAATCCTCCCAGGATGAAACGGAATAAACCTTCCTGCAACAGTGGCAATACAAACTGCAGGATACGAACGAACTCAAAAAACGGAGCAAAATCACACTTACAAATTTGAGAGAGAGAGACTGCGAATTAGAATCAGAACAGTTAAAAACGAAGCCATGCCTCAGAATTTATAGGCAATTATTGGAAGAGGTGTGATGTTTGTTCTGGAAAAGGAGTCTGTTCAGAAGTGCGGTTACGCCAGGACCGGGCCAGAGTGGCCTTCTGAATCTGCAGCAGGGTCCTACCGCGGTCACGCCCGGACAGCGGCTAACTAACTGACATTTAATTAATTATTAAATAATTAATTAAATAAATTTTGTCCAAAAATAATCTTATCGATCGATCATTTGACAAATCCAAATCCAAAGCCGAGCCGAGCGAGCGACGACGACGACGCGAGGGTTCATTCTCTTCAACTCCTTTTAAGAGCTTTAAGAAGTGATTCTATATATATATATATACACACAAATGTAGTTGTCCCTCACCCATGAGGGACAAAGTTCAAGACAAAAGCTCACTTCATTCAAATTTTCATTTCCCTCCATTTTATTTCCCACCATTTCCAATTCACACTCTTAGACTTTAAAGCCCAATGCTTAAAGTCTTTGAAGCCCGATGCTTTAAAGTCCAACAGAATGTTCTATTCAAGAGTTAGTGAAGTGCATGAATAACTTTTGGAATTGGTAATATTGTGAGTTTCGGAGTTAATAGGAGAAAATATTTATATTCGTGTATAATGCATGAAATTTGTATTTCTTCTATCTCTATTAAATTTATAACAAGATATATGGTATATTTATTATTTTCTCTTATTTCGCGCGGACAATTTAACTAGTAGAAACATAAAGAAGGAAGAGAAATAAACGCTAATTATCCGAACACTGAAAAAGAAGATGTTATTTATGGAGGCGGCTAATGAAAATGGTTACTATAAATTAATGCTGAATTTCTCAAAGTTAATGTTGGGAGAGCCGTAAAAGTTAAATGCTCATCAAATTTGGCTGAGGATTCAATAACTAGTCACTTGTCAATGTTCAAATACATTTACTATGAGCATTGGTTAGGTTGTGAGCACTTGTGACCTACAAAAAGTTTTTGCCACATATTCAATTTTTTTTTATGCTAGTAGATTAGAACTTTTGAATACACCAATAAAAAGTAAAGCAGCTTCATTGACGAGAGTCATCTACCTCCACAAAGTAGAGCTAAGGTCTGCATACACCTAACACACTACCTTTATTAAGAAGTGTTTTACCCCACTATAAAATTTTAATTCCAACATGAGTTCAGATTTAATTAGCCACCAATGCAAATACCGAAAAAGAAAAGTAAATGTAGAAAGCATCAAATCTGCATACACTAATGGAAAAAAAACACTTCATTTTAATACAACTAAAACAATGGGGAAAGAACGAAATACAAAGTTCCGTGGAAGAAAGAATGAGACCTTGAGTTAAGGTCATTCAAATTAGCAGCTAGTGGTAAACCAATGGCCGTAGTAGTAGTAGTAATAAGATATTACTTCTAAAACTCGCAATAATAAGGACTGTATAAATAAAATTCCTCTCTATTAGAATTGCAAACTTTGCTTAAAGTGGTCGTGTGTGCCGGCCAGCCACTTTGCCACAAAGACGAGCGTTCCTTGGAATTGGATATTCATCTCTCAAAGAAGTTGATGTAGTGTAAACTCTCATGTATAATTGTTGTCCGAGGTATTGTCGTGCCCAAAATTCAGTCCTTAGGTTCCACATTCCTACATTGTCCAATGCAATATATATGGCAGTCCATGACTTAGGATACACCTGTGAAATTATAGCGAGTAAAGTTCAGTGATCATATGTGAAATTAACTCGTGTTCCTTGCCACTAAACAAGTGACTTCAAATTTTTTTGATTTTTTTTGTTCTTTTTAATGTTACCTGAGTTGTGCAACGTGCAACTGCATCACGAAGATTGTATCCGTTTCTACTAGCTTGAGTCCACTGCCCTCCATCCATCCTGCATATAACATCAAAATTAAATCAAAATCAAGATTCAAATAACGCGCATATGTTAACAAAAATCGTTGATCACTACATACCCTACAACCCAGAAAGAGTAGCCATTGAGATGCCAGCTTTGGACGATGTCCTCAGTGTTCTCGAATACAATCTCAATGAACTGCCTGTAATCAGTGCCTAGAACAGACGTGTCTAGGAAAATTCCTCCACCACTTGGAGCATCAGATATGCTTCCAACGCGGAATCCACCAACTTTGAAGTAGTCAAGAAGCTTGAGAGGAGTATCAAGTGGCACAAACGACACGCTGTTGACTGCATATCTCTGCTTGCCATTTACTTGACCAGCAGAACTAGCAAGTCTGATGGTTCGGGTTGTGTTGATCATTCCATAATGGTATGAACCTTGTGGATTTGGCCTTGGTCCACTTGCCGACAAGTTTGTCCTAAAATACACAATCAATAAGCAGGTTATAAGAACAGCTAATGCTTATCAGCTACTTTTAATCAGCTAAACCAAACTGGCTCTAGATATAAGCTTAGTGGAAGTTGGTCATACCTGATGGAGCGGGCTTGGTTAAGGGACCAATCGATTTGGATGGTAGGACCACCAGGAGGAGGACCAGAGACGGGGGTGTTAGAGTTGCTATAATGAAGTACACCGGTGGTAGTGAGGACCTGAGATGTGAAACGCGATGAAACAACAATGTAGTGGTCTTTAGCTTCTTGATCAGCTGTAATGAGGACAGAATAGGTTTGCCCAACATGAACATCAAGTGAGGAATAAGTAGTTTGCAATGTGTGTGTTCCCTCTACTTCAACTAATTTCATCTTGTGTCCCTCAATACGGAAATTCAACGAATTTTGTAATCCAACATTGGATATCCTCAGTCTATAAGTTTTCCCTGTTATAAGAAGAACTCATTGTTAGATTTTTCAGAAATGTGATGACAGTAGGCTATGAATTTTCACAGATTTTAGTAACCAATATTCCTCAATTTTTTTTACCTTGCTCAACTGTGAAAGAAACACCATTAGGTCCACGTCCATTGATAAGAATGCCATCAGGAAAAGGTAACTTCTTTCCTCCATCAAGAATTGCTTTCAACGCCTGTATAACAGGAAATTCAAATAAAAATTTTGAGTTTCTATCACTGAATCAAGTGTGTGTGTGTATATATATATATATATATATATGTACAAAATAAAACCTATCTTTTACTTTTAGTTTATTTGGTACGATGAGCTTAAACAGGAAGTGAGAATTCATATAGCCGACCCCATCATATTTAGAACGAAGGCCTAAGTTGCTCTGACACGGCAATTTAGGTGCTGCACCCGTGTCGATACAACACTAGTATGGGGGGCATTGGGTCCGTACCGGATCTAATCAAACAGTTTTGGGTACTTTAACCATGACAGACGGAAAAAATTAAGACGAGATAGTTGTTGTGGATGTTAGTAGTTTCTATCACTGACTAATGGCTATATTTTATTTGATTTAACTCAACTCAAACTTATATATCAACATTTCTTTTTCCAAAACAATAACCCTAGCCCTCAAGTATTGGAAGTTATAACTTGTTGACAAGTCTAGAATCACATGAACATTACAAAACCATACTTCTTTTTGTGTTTAAAGTAATTTGTAGATTTACATCTTTTTGACTCTGCTCAATGATGTTAGCTCAGTATAAGAAGTTTGGTTTGAGTATTAAAAGAAAAGATTTTTGCTGTTCATGTCTCCTATGGAGCCCGCAATAATAAAAGATTTAGTCAACTAGAGACCCATAATGGCCCACGAGAAAAAGCACACTATATTCCAAAAATGCAACAAGCCAAACAACATTACTACTTTACCTTACCGACACTCAAGACATTAGACAAACCCACTGTCCACATAACTATTTGTACATACAATATACAAGTGTCTCTATGTACTTGCAAAAATTAAATGCATTTTAACAAATTAAATTTTACAAATCAATATAAAAAATATTTACACTATCAGATTATTAAAAAGATAAAAGGCATACCGTGTGGTTTTTCTTGTACCAATCTCCAATGAGGACGGTGTAATCGTCTGCAGGATCCGGAAAAGGAACGGGGATTCTAGGCCTGCTGAGAATTTTAATTCCTCCGAAACCACCAGCAGCTTTGTGAAATGCAAGAGAAGGGAAATAGTAATAACTTCCTATTTGATCTTTCATTTGTAGAATGTATGTGAAATTTTTTCCTGGTGGTATTGGGCATGTTGTACCATATACTCCGTCTTCAAATGAGTTTCTTCTGTTTTGTATTCCATTCCTTTATATATTCCAACAAGATGTCAATTTAAATCTTTAAATGAAGTAATTCACAAAATGTAATATAGTAGAAGGACATTGATTTAGCTAATATTTAATAAAATTGTATGGTCAGAAAATAATAGAAAAAAACAGCTGAAATGGCCAACACATTATGGACAAAAGATGTATTTGGGACAGAATAAGCAGCAACTTTTCACATGCATATCACATGATCTACCGACTAGTTACACTCAATCTAATGTTTCAAAGACTCATCATTTGTTTAGCAGACCAAAGTAACCATGTGAATTTCATATATAATGAGAATAAACCCACGTTTTTTATTTTATTTTTTCCTATCGCATTCAATATTTAAAATCCACTTGCTTGATTAATCTGAATTCATGCTAAATAAGTTGTTACGGGAATATAACACTATCTAATATTAAAAAAAAATTATTTTTAAGGCTCGAATTTGAGATCACACCACATTTCAATTATGGGATCAAAAACATTGTTGCGCATCGTTGTTTACAACAACACAACAACCCAGTGGATTTCTACTAGTGGAATTGACCATATTAACCTTTACTATCTCACATAAACACTCCTAACATATATTCCAACACTATTTACTCCAAGGACAATGTAGGAAAAAAAATAATTCATTCTTGAAATCTAGAAAAATCACTTATTTTGAACCACAAGAAAAAGGCCAAAAAATCACTTATTTTGGACCGGAGGGAGTATTCTACAAGATATTGAAATTACACAAATCAAATTGTTTCTTTATAATGACGCAATAAATCAGCTAAATTGAGAAGGAATCAAATTAAAAGAAAAACGAAAGACTCGCTTATATCCAACTAGACTCTATTTTGCTAGTATTTGGGCAGAGTGTACAATTTTCGACTTTAACCACATTTACATATTTGAACAATATTTAGAAAAATGTAGATCTATACTAATATATACATTACCATAAACTAGCTGTAGGTACACAAAACAATCTATATCCACTAATTTATGAATCTTCCGTCTGCCTCTTATATTAAAAGGGTGACGGACATATACGAATACATGATCTAGAGCCGGTTTGAAATACGTCTATCTTATTATACATTTTAAATTTTTTGCTTATAAATATTTAGTTCGAGCCAAAAATAATAAGTTCAGTTGAACTTAAATAACTTAAATATCTCGTCCTAAAATCTTCTTTAACTAAAGAATGAGATCTGACTACAGAACCTTTTTAGCTAGACACCTACCTAACTAGATCGAAAAAATTAAAAACAATATAACTAAACCAATGGAAGTGAATGGACATGAAAATTGTAAATCCTCGAGGCAAATTATTATATACAGTCACAGCTGTATAATAGAGATTCACCATAAAAATTAAATTTTTTTAATATTTATACTATATAACAACATTTTACTATAATAACCACAAAATATCGGACTGACCGTATAAAGAAAAGGCTGGTGTTCTGATCCTTGGTTTTGGTGAATGGAGATTCAGTATTGAATTTAGGACACAAAATGTATTTGAATCGTGATATTCCAAAGACCAGCATTATCATTTTGACACGTGAAAATTTATGTACTAATTACTTAATTAATGTTTAAAATGTGAGAAAATGGAAGATTGGTAAATTACCAGGAAAGAAGAAAAGGTTCGTCCAAGCTGTTGAAAACGTTGATAATGATATTGTCATTAGTAACAGAGTAAATATCAGGTCCAGGAAATTGGCCATTGATCAAAATTCCCTACACAAACAGAAACAAAATCACCATTTTATGATCATATATGATCAAAACAACCCAAAAAAACTCAGATCCAGAAGAGAAAAACACACACACACACACACATTCTATTTTAAGAAACAGAGAAAAAGAAACTAACCTGTTGAGGAACTCCAAGAGGATAAATAGTGCCATAAGTAACATTCCACTCAAAGAATCTATAAGGATCTTCTGCTACTGTATTCACAACTAATCCTACCACTAAAAATGCCGCTACTGCGAGTTTTAGCGGCACCATTTCTTCTTTCCTTTTTGTTACCTGTCTTGAGTTCGAGCGAGGTCGAACCTCTGAATCTTTGATGGCGAAGGCCCTTGGCCTTAAAGGCGTTATTTCAAACTTATCGAAANAGAAGAAAGAGTGGGTTCTGGAACCGGGGTGGGGGGTGGGGGGTGGGAGGGGGTGGGGAAGAGTGGGTTGGAGGGAATTAAAGTGAAGGGTGATGAAAAGAGCATGGCATATTTAAAAGTGCGGTACAGACTACTACTACTACTAAAAGTCAAGTTGGCCTAGTAGTGTGCGGCTACACCCCGTCACGGAATGTGATGAAATGGACGAGATCCCTTTATTATTAATTAGATGTTTATAATTCAGAGCCTTAGAATGATAGTGACGAAAATAGATGAGAACCTTTCACGGTTAATTTGATATCTAATATTCGAGCTTTATAATGATAATGATCAAATAGACGAGATCCCTTCACCATTAATCACGTATTTCACCTTTAGAATAAGGATGATGAAATGGACGAGATCGTTTCACTGTTAATCAAATGTTTAAGATTCGAGCATTAGAATAACAATGATTAAATAGACGAGATCCCTTCATCATTAATTAGATGGCGATGAACGTACGAGATCCTTTCATCATTAATCAATGTCTAGTAGCATGTTTGGCAAGCTTCTAAAAGTATCTCAATGTGAGAAGTGTTTTTTTCAAAAGTACTTTTGTTGAGAAACAATTTGTATTTAATAAATTGAAACACTCTTCTGAGCAACAATTAATGTTTGACCAAGTTCTAAAAAGTGTTTTTAAGAATATTTTTCTCAAAAGAGCTTTTCAAAAATGTATTTTTGGGAAAAAATTATTTTTTTCTGCTTCTCCAAAGTTGCTTTTGCTTCTACTCAAAAATATTTTTTCCTTCTAAAAGCTTGGCCAAACAATTCAACTTTAAAAAAAATATTTTTTTTTAAAAAGTGTTTTTTAGTTCGAAAAAATTCGGCCAAACAGGCAATAAGATTCGAGCAATACGTTAAGAAGTTTTTTCATTAAGGCATATAGGTATGATATGTAATTAAATTAACAAGATAAAAGGTAAAAAGTGGCCCTAAGTGAAAAAAGAGAGGGAAATATTGTGGAAAATTTTGAAATTTACAACTGTAAGTCAGTAAATGGGGAAACCAAGAAATATGAAAAATAATTTAAAAAGGCGGTTTGATCTTTGATGTGTCGGTGATGGGGTCTACGCGGTACTAAAACAGTAGTAGGAGTAGTAAATATATGACACCTCCACATGCCTGCTGCTCACTGCTGTCTTCGTCTCCTTGGTATAATTTGGAAATGAAAGAATTACGTATTTATAAACAAATCCGTCAACTAAATCCGTCAAAAAAAACAAATTGCATTCGCATCGATAAAAAAAAGAAAAATACTTTATAATGTGATTACATCAAAAATATGATTACTACCTCTGTTTTAAAAGGCAGAATTGAGACTCGCTCCGGGGCGGAGCACTCGTAAAACGCCTCTGGGCTTATGTGTGAGGCTTAGTTCTATGAGACTTACGCCTCGGCCATCGAGGCTTACGCCCCGGACACGCCCAACGCCCAGCGTACTAGGCTCGCCTAATAGAACTTTATGCAATTGTATGTAATTAACCTTGTAAATCCTTATTTTTTTCTTAATAAATCGTTGACTATTCAAAATTACTTTTTTCTTAATCATAAATTATTAAGCTGAGAATATTTTATGTCATAATTAAAGAAAAGATTATTGCACGTTATGCACTAAGACTGCTATGATAGTTAATTTAAATAAATCTTTTATTTAAAAATTATTTATTTATTAACTTCTGTTATGTATTTACTATATAATAGTCCATAGTTTTTTATAATTATTTTTCTAAATATTATTTTTTACGTTTACGAGATACAATACTTATTAATTTAATAGCTCAGTATTAGCTAGCAACTATTTACAAATAATTAGTTATCATGGTATTGTATGGTGAATTATGTGTCACTTTATTAACTTGTTGAAACTTAAAAATAAATGATGCTGGAGAATCATATTTAAATTGTGAATTATATTTTTATATACATTCTCTTTCAAATAGAAAGCATACTAAATAAAGGAGTATTTTAAGAAAAATATCAAATTATAATATTGAAATTCTTTCAAGATTTATTACTCCTTAAGAGATACATATAAGATGTCGTATCAAATACATTACTTTTGATATTTGAGTTGTAACGACGTTGCAGCTAATTTGCATATTACGATATGTCATACTTTTCGTATTATTCATAGTTAAATTATAAATTATAAATATTTTAAATAGATTATTTGTTATAATTTTATGATTTTAATATAAATTTTATAATTATTTTTTATTTTATACTATTTTAAAATTTTTAAAATTAGTAAAATCTAAAGATCCACGGGACTTACGCCCCATATCTCAGGGCTTACGCCTCGCCTCGTCAGAGATAAAACGTCCCGCCTCACGCCTCCGCCTTTTAAAACAGTGATTACTACAACGTTAGTTTATATAATATATATTCAGAAACTATAATAGTAAGATGCAATAATTATTCCGTAAATAATTGGTTGATACACGTACAAACTAATTATAATAGCATTATTTTTTTAAGAAATAATTATATTCATATCGATTGAAAAGTTTAAATGTCCTACTACCTTTGATTTGTGTAAATTAAACATCTAAATGAAGTACATACCATGTAGTTCTCCAATCGAATCTCGTGGTTAAGTGTTACCTTTCAAATTACACTCCCTCTAATTTTTTTTTTCTTCTAATCTCCTACTGATGTTGGTATCCATAATACTATCTGATCAAATTTGGATTTACACCGGAAAATCACATATTAAGGGGTAAAGAATTCTCTAATAAAAGCGACTATATAGTAAAAATAGCACGGGCTAGCCAGTTTTCGGACTGGTCATTCAAAAATAGCCAGCGTTTGCAAAGTCATTGAAAAATAGCCACTATTTTGCTGTAACACGGAAAGTTCCAGCATAATATACTGGAGATCGGTGCACCTTTGTATGAACTTCCAACATATTATGCTGGAACTCCTAACACGCGAAAAGTTGCAGTATAATATAATATACTGGAGATTGGAGCACCGGTGTTCCAATCTCCAGTATATTATGCTGGACCGGTATATTATACTGGAACTCCAGTATATTATACTCGAGTATTTTTTCGTATTTTGAACAGTGTTTTCGTTCAAATTCATCTTTACATAAAAAGTGGTTAAATTTCTATTTCTTCTGAAATTGTAGCTATTTTTGAATGATCACTTGTAGATCTAGCTATTTTTGAATTTCTCCTCTATAAACTCATGATTCAAATCAAAATATTTGATTAAGGATAAAAGAATAATTATCGCTATATCACAACCGTTATTGGTATGGTAATAGTGGTACACTCACATTAATTTGAATTAATTGAATATTAATGTTATGTCATTAGAATTTTTCCCTTTGTTCTATTTTGGAACCACATTTGCTTGCGGAACTTGGAAAGAAAGGAGAAGCAAAGTGCGATGGATGTAGTCATTGGAAAGTGCATGTGATGAGTTAAACCTTGAGGCCCCACACCCATCTCACTTTTCGATGATTGATTGCACATTGCACATTTGCTCTTTTCCTTTTACTTTCCTTTCTGATTTAAAAAAACCTCATTTAACTCACCCTCAACCAACCGCTTCCAGCTGCCATTTTCTCTCCAATAATATTCAGATCACAGAATTTAAGTCAACAATTATTAAATCCAACTTTACTTGGACTAGTTTTATTGGCATAGCATCTCGGGAAACATATTTCAATGGCTAGCAGTAGTCCTTGACAATGTACAGTTGTGTACAACAATAATATACTTGGTGTAATTCTACAAGTAGAGTCTGAAGATAATATAGTGTGAAGGTAGAAAGGATTTTTTCGATAGAACATCGGCTCAAGAAAAGCATAATCGCCACGGTTAAACAATGTACAACAATGTATTTGATTGTTTTTACGAGGTACTCCCTCCAATTCAAACTAAGTGTCTACTAAGCCACTTGAACAACCCTTAAGAAAATACTAACTCCTAGAAAAAATTAGATAATTTGACTAAAGTATCCCTAATTAAAATTTCTTGTTTAATAATATCATAGAAAATGAAAGACTTTTAGGGATATGTAAATAAGTGTAATTCTGAAAAACAACGTTAATTCTTTCTTGATTTGGTAAGTGGACATTTATTTTGAACCAACAAAAAAAGGCTAAGTGAACACTTATTTTTAACCGGAGGGAGTATGATCATACTTTTTGGTTTATAAATGATATGATTGTGATAATACGTTTTACCCGTATAAAAATTTAGATTCTTGCGATTTTACAATTGCCCACATGCCATAGAGTGAATACATGTGAAGAATTTGAGACCAATTAACGTTTTACCAGAAATGCAGGGACAGAGATTTGACGTTGAACTTTGTACATGTAAAGTTCACGCATTGACACACGATGTCACTGTAAGAAAACACTTAAAATACCCAAAGAGACACAGAGATAGTAACCTTATTCTAACCACGTGGTGGATGTATTGAAAAATGATACAGGAAATGGATTTTGTCTTTCTATTCAGCCAAATGTTGATTTTTTAATGAAATGAATCTGTACGTGTTCACATGATATAGGTAAAGACGTAAAGTTTATGTTTTGAATATTAACCGCCCAACTCCATCCCCATAAAAAAAAATTACTTCTAGTAATACTTGATTATTCCAAAAAGTTGAACTTAAAGTGCACGTCATGCTATGGACAAATACTTTCTCTAAACCAAGTTTCAATACCAATAAATAGGACAAATGAGTTTATCCTATGTTTGGTTGGGATAAAATCGCAATATAACTAATCCCGAAATGAGTTATTCCGGGATTGTAATATTATTTTTATCCCTATGGGAGGATGGACAACCAATTCCGGAATAACCTGTTTCCAACCCCCCTAAAAGATTGCATAACAGAATC